GCTTCAACTTGGGGATGAAGAAGGAGGAGCAAAGGAATGTTGTGGGGTCCTATTACACACCTGCCCAAACTGGAGGACACCGGAGGAAGGCGAACCAAGTATACTTAATGGGAAAGAAAAGATGTCTCACAGTAGGAGTGACAGCGACGTGTTGTTTTGGTCGTAAATTAGTAGGATTTCAAGAAGTCAGTGTCGGACGGAAATTTACGTTAACTCAAATGAAGAAGAAATTCAAACAGAGCACGAAAGGAGAAGTATAGCGTCGGCGAGGGATAGGCTTTACTTGGGAAACGTTGGAAATGCCAGTGACGCTCTCGAGGTGACGTGGACAGGCCGTATCGTCTAACGAAACTTGGTCACTACGTCACAGTTTTCAGAGAGTAGGCGGTAATAAAGACATGACCAAAATATCAGCTCATAGGGTTTCAGCTTTAAGGTTGTTAAGGTCGGAACGTAAACAGCTTGCGTAGGCATAAATAGACATGCTAAGAGTGAAAGGAGCTAAATAATAGGAGTCAAGATCGGTAGTACTGTTGACGTAATGGTTACAGAGCACTGGATCTACAAACCCAGAGAATTATGGGAAACGTCAGGATACAGAGACCGTTCTTATGAGGCAAGCCAAGTTAGCACATTGAGGCTAGGACGCCATCTTAAGGCGGGAAAAGAAGTAGTGAGTGTCGGCGGAAAAAGGACACTGGGGTGAAAGTGGCCACATGAAAGGGTAGTTAACATGTCGATCAAGACTCAGGATGAGGTCACAATGTGGGTCTACCTAGCCCAGGTTGTTTAAGCCCGGATGTCTGGGAGCAATCAGAATGCGGGAGACTGCTCATATGATGCTTGCCTAGAACCTGGCCAGAAGAGTTAGCCGTCCAGTTGTAAAACGAATGCGAACAGAGAGCGCGCAAAGAAGAGCATTGGGGCAGGGAGAAAAATAATCCATTGAGAAGAAGTGGAAATGCCAGCGACTTTCTCGAGGTGGTGTGAACGGACGTTGGGATATGCTGTATGTTGATCGGTAAGGTGAGAGTAATCGGAAAGCAGGAGACCATTGTGACGAGACTAGCATGTCAGCTCATGGAGCTAAAGCCATATAATTAGGGTCAGAATACTGACAATGAATGTCGGCAGAATTATACATGTTGTGGATGACAGAAGATATGCTGATACGGATGAATCGTGCCCTTGCGGTGCAAGTTACAGAGGGTTGGCTTAACAGAGCCTAGGTCGTTTAGGTATCAGAAGTCTGGGGAGGCCAGGAACAAGGCGACAGTTCAAACGAGACCAGATGCGTCACCACATTGATGCCAAGACGCTAACCTAGATACTGACAGATTGCAAGCGACAATAGGCTGTCTGCATGGCTAGCCACCGAAGTGGCACCCGCCCAACAATTATGTTTATTGGTACGTCCTTCCTATGAGTGTTGCGTAAATATTTTTGTGCATTTCGCATTGGCCATTGCCTGCTCGGCAAAGGTGCTTGTAAGAAGAACGTTGCAGTACTTGCGTCTTCTTAGTTGCACACAACCTGGGCACCCTAATGAGGATTGTGGCTGTCAATAAGATGTTATGTTCCACAAAGGGAGTTTTCCCTAATGACTCCTGAGGTCCTCAAAACTCCACTTTACTTCCCATGTGCGTCCTTTCCTCGAATACCGTTTACCTGCGGTTTAACCTTTTACCAAGACCGAAAGTGTCCTCGTACAGAGGATCCTACTGCGGTGTTCGAAATAGGCCAGCAATCCGAATATTATCCTACACCCAACAACTTCGGACGTTGAACAGGTTTTCCTTGGATTATCAGCGTTCTCTTGATGATCTGAGTTGAACAACACGCATTCTGTGGAGGATGCAAGGAAAAGAAATATAAAAGTTCTCGCTACTTATAGTGAATAGTTCAACACCAGGTTACTCCTGGCTACTGTTTGTGCCGAGGGGACTTCGGGCCCAGCCTGATGCTGCCTAATCCAAACGCGTGGTGATGGACTGGAACAAGGTACCTGGGCCAGTCGTCAGTACACAGAGTGAGGAACATTTTGAAAACTGTTAGCCAACTATCTGCTGAGTAAGTTAGGCTGCTGTTGTTACCCTGTGCTCATGATGGTCCACGGCGGTACGTCGTATCGCATGGATTCGCAATATCCTCGTTTGAACGGGCTGTGCTGAAGCTGACACTGCGTCGCCTTGCGGCTCCCTACTATTCCAAGGAACACCAGTGAATGGCTGTTAGTTAAATTATTGCTGAACATTTTTAAAAGTAGAAAGGCAGTAAAGTAACATTTACCTCAAGCGTAGCATCACAGCCGGCAGTAGGATCCATGCGTTAGGTCCCTGTGAACAAGCGGCGGTAGCATACGAAGTCGATGAAAACACGTCTTCGCGCCCAACAGTATTTGTCTACTTACTCAAAGAAATGCCTCACCAATCCACCGTTTTCTACTCTCCTCCCTCCATGTTGGAACACGTAGGCCTTATGTGACAGCATTTAAAACTCTTGCATCATTCAGCTTCGTTTGCTTCGTTTCGGTTTCTCAAACCTGTGGCGGAACACACGCTTGCTTCTATATGTCAGGTATTCTTTCGCTCCTTTCAGTTCGGATGTCTTTCGAATGCCTGGCTAGTGGACATTGTCAAGCTTGTAAACAAAGAATTGAGCCGTAGGGAGCCGGCTAGTCTCCGTCCAAATTGGTTAACATGGGTATTACGTGAAGTTTATAATTAATAAACAAATGAATAATTGTTTGTTCCCAGCAATACGAGGCAAGCCTGTAAAGATATGATCAGTTTGCTACAAACACGCAATTGCACCGAATTGTCCCATGTTGACCGGTAACATATTGGATCAATATATGTATGTGTATAAGTGGGTGTATGCGTAGATCATGCTGATGTATGTGTACGTTGACGTGGTAAGTGGTTATTGGCGTGTCACATCTGCCAAGTTACCACGCTGTTAATCGGACAGTTGTGGCCATTTATAAAAAGAGCGATTGCCAGGCAAAATACACACCACGTAATGGAACGCGGCCTCCGCATTATTCGCTGGAACGGGCGTTACCCAAAACACACAGCTGGCACCAGGTGAAGCTTGTTCGGCCAGCTAGCTCTTCACCTTTGCATCGCGCAGCTGTATTACAACTTTTGTGTCCAGCATGTTTTCCAAAGAGCTCACTCGTGTACGATAAACTTGCACATGGCCAAAGAGAATTGGGTTCACATTCTAGATTTCAAGAAAAGCTTGGATATCTTGTTTCTCGCCATTGGCAAAGCGTTTGACCAGGTCCCACATGTGCGCCTCCTGTCCAAACCCCGAGGCATCGGTGGCACTAGGAATTACCCCTCCTGGAGCGCTGATTTCCTGGTCGATAGTTCTTTGCAAGAAACGTGAATGAAACCATTTCTGATTATATACTCATGACCAGCGGTGTCCCGCAGGGCTCTGTTCTCGAACCCGAGCTCTTCAACCTATAGTTTAACGACCTGCCGGCTGACTGTCTGATATATGCGGATGATCTGATGCTGTGGATAGAAGTCACTAGCACAGAAGTTGCTGATCGACTTCCAGAGACGCTTGACCTGCTGCACTGCTGCTCGATCTAGGGGCAACTAGCCTATAAATCTAGACAATCGTTCTGTTCTACCTTTTGGAACAACGGAACGATTCGGGGCCTATCACTGTGGCAATGCTTTATTCAAAAATGCCACCGTTTTGGGAGACCATGGCATAATACAGTCTGCTAACCTAAGATTACCTCAAGACGCCTTGAAGAGCGTCGCCGCTGCCTATAAAATGTTTGTGCATCACGAGGCAGGTTCTGCCACCTGTTCCCGGTGCTCTGCCGACTCATTAATCATTACGCGTCCGTCCGATCCTTGAAGCTAGGCTTCCTTTCTACTATCCCCTCGTCACGTTCGAATCTGACCTAATTGGGAGGGTCAAACGGCACAATACTAATTCTGTTTTTGGGTTGCCTGAACTACCCTAACCACTTGGACTCCAACAAGATGCCCTTCGCTCTGGATTATCATCGCTGCCGTGAAGGGTGCATTCGCACTTGACGGATCCTTAAATAACTAAATAACTAAATAAATATATATTTTATTCTCGAATTCATCTAGCCATACCGCCTCAGGTATGATCAAAATTTACAAGGAGAGTGGTGGGAGAGTTGCAGAAGTACTTTTATCTTAGCGCTGGAACTTTGACTTAAGGTCACATATAGAAAGTATTCAAGACGAACAGACTGCGATTGCGGACCGTGCTTGCGCTATTCACTTGTGGGTTAAATGACTAGGACGGCTTGCCAGAGCTCGTTATTGACGCACAAACGGAGGAATGTTTTAAGACAATGTTGGATTCCTACTTACTGAATACACTGAGCTCGTGTTGCTTCCAGTGAAACTGCGGCGGCCTTCTACAGACCTCTGTTTTGCGATGGCCAACGCAACCCCCTCTGTGAAAAGGAAGGTGATGGTCTTAACCATGTCTCTCTTTTCTACCCAAGACTCCCCCATGATCCAATGTTAATATGCAATAGTAATTGTTAATTGTAGGGAATGTAACAGAGACAACGACTAGGTGTTATATATAATATTCTATTCTCGTCAATTATTTGCGTCATTGCGCTACAGAAAGTTGGAACGCTACTGAAACCCAACATCGATATTTCGAATTCCTGGCACCGCTTCCATTGTCAAATAAACCACAAAACCTAGCCCTCACAAACAATCTATGATTCATGATGCACATTAACCAAGAGTTCACAGCGTTAAATAAGTACAGCGTACATAAGCGATTATTAACTAATTATGCGTATAATAAATAACATATCATTTATAATTGTTGTTCTTACATTATCGTGTTTATTGTATCGTGCTCTTGCAGAGCGATCCGGGTAGAACTATAATTTTACTACCGGTGTGGTTGTTGGTATCACAAAATACATCATTTACTTGTTAAAACTTTTTCTTTCTTAGTAAAACATTAATCAGATGACCTTCCAATGCGGATTATTTAAATATGTTTTAGATTACTGCTCGCATAGATGACATTTGACCTGGATTCATGTCTCCAAAAAAGTTTTGAACAACCATACAACCGAATATGTGCGGACTGCGAATCAAAAGCCGTTCGCTTTCTTTCAGTTACTTTCGGTGTTTTTCTCTGTGCTCGTTGTGCGGGTAACTATTTGCAAATAACTATATAAAAATGTACAGATTCTCACAGGAAGCTGGACAGCGACGTCAGAAGAGCCACTTCATACGATGAGGTTAAGGAATTTGTTGACATAAGCACCATCAAGAGCTTTTTGGATAAGGGAGGAAACGCTAAGTTAAATGCACAACTTGAGGCTGAACTGCCTGCCTACTTTCGTCGACCATGGGATTCGGATAATTGTCCAGACTTTCTTCGAGAAGACTTCATAAAATCAAAGTATATACATGAAGAATTCAGCAAAGGAGCCTTAGCTCGAAATGCTCAGTGTCGATTTTCAGCCCCAATGAAATCCGGGATATTACTGAAAAAGCTTCGCGACGCGGATGCGTTCTGCGAGCGGTTCTTCGAACTTTCAGTGGAAAGAAATTATCTAAAGTATTATGTTAAGTCCTGTGACCCTGAACCCAAGAACTCGTTAGACTTGGAGAAGCTTAACATTACCTTCATAAATCCCACCAAATTTGATGCTCCAGCGCATACAGCACTGGTACAGTTTGTACAAGATGGTTCAACCAGACACATGTTTATCCGATCTGAAGATAGTAGAACCATCATAAGTTGGTACAACTCCATAAGGATGGGAAAGTTTAGCAGGATCTGTATCAATTTAACCTGCATGGGACTATCCTATTCTCAATCGGAAGTTGCTCACACTTTAACAAGAGACATCGATATGGCTGGCTGGCTTAGTAAAACAGGGCCGAGAAAAACAGACGTTTGGAGAAAGCGATGGTGTATGTTATTTCAGAGACACCTGTTGTATACGGACAAACCTTTGAGTGCATTTGCGAAAGGTGAAATATTCATCGGCTCACAAAACGACGGATTCTTTATTACGGATGGCGCACCGAGTAACTGGAAGAGACGCAACGGATTTGCCTTTACTATTAATACACCAGACCGTCCTTTTGTCTTTGTCAGTGATTCGCTAGATGAAAAAGAAAGTTGGATATTGGCTTTAGAACGAGTAACACAGATTCCGATAACATTGGAAGAAAGTAAAAGAGTGGCTCACGTTGCATTGAAACATGCAAGTATATATGCGTGATTTATATGATCACACGTCTGAATCGGGCAATTTACATTCTGGTACGGAATTTTCGTGAAAATTGGTGCTCTTATTATTTCAGTAATGTTGCAGTAGCACTTTTGCTGCTGTATCTTAGCCTATTACAGACTATTTTGAGGAGACATATTGTTGACAGTAAGGTGTACTTATGATATCATGCTGTTGTCCTTGCTACATAAAGAGAATAAATTGTAAACGCAGAAAAGCGCAGTAGAGCAGTAAATGTTTTTGTCCTATTCACCACGGTAATACCGTTTTTTATTTACTGCATATTTTTGTTTTATCCTCCAGGACGTAAACTGCACTTGCTAAACGTCCAGCGCAGTTCCAAATCTCAGGATTTATTTGCGCTGCAAAAATGGTTTACAAAGAATGCATGTAGAGATATTAGGCTAAATAATTATAGATTAACTTTTAAACAAACGTACATTGCTTTTAATTTATGAATCTTTGCCGAATACTGTACTGACTTGAGCGTGGCAAGTTATAAATGCTTAAACAGAATTCGTTAGCAATGCTATGCAGTATGCACTTGTTGCGGACTCTTATTAGCGGTAATTGCAAAGTTTACTGGCAGTTATGATATACTGGTCAAAATAAGGTACTTTAATGCTACAAAACAATTGCAGTCCAGAAGCTATCTACCTTGTTTTTTGTTCAAATGTCCACTGATGTCTTGCGTGCCAAGTAACAGCAAAACTTGCCACCCAAATTCATAAAGTGGTTAAGTGAACAATTATGCAAGCCCCACCTTTGCTATGTCAAAAAGTAGACATGGTTTTCCGAATTTGCTTTATTATTATATGGTTAGAATCTATGTACACTTTATAGCGTCATCATATAACGGTCCGACGTGCATCAGTTTACTTCTGCTTTTCCTCCTTATAACACTTAATTTGACCAACTTTCATCATCTTTATGGCTCTAATCTATGAAACAGAATAATATAATAAAAGTTACAGTTTTCGTGTGCTTACATACAGAACCTGGGGTAGATAATAACATGTTTGTTATATGTGTGGGTGTTACTCAGGTGCTATACAAAGGAGGTGACAAGTTAGAGACCTACCGAGCAAGATAGTAAAGCAAACATTTAGATCATATTGACTCAATGTTTATTGGCAAAAGCTACAAGGAATAAAGAGCAAATGATCAGAGGCCGACAGGTCTACGCAGGCTGACTCACGTGAGACGCAAGTATTTAGTAGGTAAAACCAGGTAAACCAATGGACCATCAAAAGATGTAAACAAGAACAACAGCTAAAATCTCAAGATGCTGAGAGCGTGACTAACACATGTTTACTATAGGGGTCTCCACTCCAAAGGCTGAATAGGTGCAGCCATCGATAGATATCAAGGGAAGACTGTGGAGACAGAGAGTAAGATGGCAATTGTTGTATGCTTAAGCGGACAGCATAGGGGTACTTGGAATTCGTTGGACCTAGCGTTCTTTTTTATCTTCATTTATTATTTTGGTATTGCTTGGCGTGCATAGTCAATGAGCCATTGGTGTTGACTGCAAAATTATCGGCGAGTCCAGAAAATGTCCGACAGAATATTTCTCCCTCCGCCGACCCGGCTGTGTGCATAGAAGGTCCTCCTCCCCCACCGCATCTTAGTCCACGGCGAGGGCGATCCTGGTCCAACGAAGAATCATGGCCGTCTTTGGAGTGCCGTTTTTTAGAGCTCGCGGGCCAGGCTAGTCGTCCTCATCCCTGGGCTTGTGAAGAGCGGTGGTCACTTGGAGCCAAAGGAATATGGTTTTAGGCTTTGGGCAGGTGAATCAGGTGATTCCACGGTGTCTTGGAGACATGAGTTCTGAAGTGTAACACTCGAAGAGGGTGAGACGCAGTCTAAAGGGGCAGTGTGGCATCGTGTGAATAAGTAGGCATGTATATGAAACAACCTGGGTACTTTTTGTCTGTTTCAAAAATAGGGTTTTGTAATTTTTCTCCTCTGCACAAAACGCTTGTGAATAAAACGCAGCTAATCATAATGAGTGCAAATGCACATGGTAAGTAATATGGAATACGCTAGCAGCATCTGAAGAGCAGACCGGAAGTTTGAACTGTTTAGCTGGTTGGTCATTTACCTGGGGTTGTGGATGTATTAGCTTAGAATCAAGAATAACAGAAGAATCTTGGGTGTCTTGTGCAGATGATGCTGCTGTGGGTGCGTTTGCTTGCGCGGTTGTATCAGGCGAGGTTGGAGGCGGATATTCGAAGAATGCCACTTGAGACGATCGATGGACACCGTTAGACGATGACCATTCTGGTCCAAGGTAAAATGCTCAAGTGTTCGTTGGTGAACTCTGAAGGAGCTGGCGTATGGAGGCTAAAGAGTGCGATGGGCTGCGTTTGTGCAGACGGAAACTTTGGTGCTAGTAGAGTTTTCACTGTGCGTTTGTACATCTCTGGACTGCTTACGAAAAGCCATCGGGCGCAGCGAACGCATACGTTGAAAAACGGGACTACGAAATTCGACGGTGACATGCACGATGGTGAGGGGGCAAAATGAACTCGTGGCAGTTTAGATATTTTGCCGTAGATTAGCTCTGCTGCTGCACACGGTAGGTCACTTTTGATGCTGCTTTGAAGATCTAGAAGCACTAAGGAAATGTTCTCGCTGCAGTCAAGTTTGAACGTAGCACGGAAAGATGACCTAAGCGGTCAGTAAAAGCGGGCGTCTAGGACATTTGTCTTTGGGTGATATGCCGGGGTGTAAATAAGACGGCAGTCGGTAGGCCAATCGTGCAAGACAACCCCTTGGGTCTTTCCTCGTTACTGCGCATGATAAAGGTTTGTGGTCAGTGTTGACATGGAACTCCTTCGCTAAATGGTTTTCCCTCAAAACCCCACGAGATTGCAAAACATTTGCACTTTGTTGTAGAATACTGTTGCCTTCCGCCAGTTGGTACTTTACTAGCATACACTATCACGCCAGCTGGTTGGAACAGAACCGCACCGATCGCAACGTTACTTTGCTCGACCGCTACAGTGAACCTTTCACACGGATGGGGTATGCGTAAACATACTGGCTATTTTGCTACGCAAGAATTAAGGTGATAGAATTCCTGCTTCGTTTTGGATGTCCAAACAACTTAAACAGCGTGCTTATTATCTCCACAAAATGAGGTACGAACTTCCAATTATATGCAACAACTGTTAGAGACGAACGGAACTGCCGTTTGATTTTAAAACTACGAACATTTTGTTTGTCTGACGTTACTCAGGGACTGATTGTACCTGACCATTCCCCACATTGTGACACAGGCACACAACCAACTTCTGGACAAGTTGCCTATTGTTTGACTTGTTTTAGATCCGCTTCATCTAGTGGTTGGGTTACAGATTCGAGTCTGGCACCATATACTTATTGTCTCAGCGAAAATAATGATCTCACCTCCATAGATCACCATACCTTGAGATTTCACAGAATCAACAGTATTAGTCCTCCTAATGTTGTATGAGCATTGCACAATCTAAATATGACTCAAAATTTCCTACAGATGCCCGTTTGTACTAAAAGCGGTTTTATGACGATCTTCTGCGATGGGCAGCTGTTGGTGTCCCGAGCAGCAATTTATCAACGAAATCCGCTTTGTGTTGTGAAAAGTAAAAATTTCATCCATTTTTGGCGTCTGAAATGTGTCCTTCACCGTTACTCTTTAGCCCTTTAAAAGAAACGCAGCGTTGGTAGGTTCTGTCCGCTTTTTTTCACCAGTGTGACTGGCGATGAATACCGGCTGTTCCTTTCTCCTAAGGACTCCTTTAGTCTTCATTACTGCCAACTGTTTCGGTACTTCCGGCAGGTTGTATTGTGGTATTCTTCTGTACACTGGCTTACACTCTCCCCCTGGGCTTAAGAGTTCCGGTGTTCAACCCAATTGCAGAACCCGAAATCATCATTTGCATCAATGAACAAGTGCGCATTGCTCCTTAGCCCATCCTGTATTGCGCGACTAGGACAATCAGATCAAGCATACACGACAGCTATTCGTTTCGAATATCTTGTACACATCTCGACTGTTTCGTTGGCTACAGTTCACACATCACCACTAAACTTGATTCTGGCACCGAGTCGCCTGCAAATATCATTGACGGTTATTGTTCCTGCGTCGCTCGCCAAGACTGGCGTCAAATGATTGATAAGTGTTGCTCCTATCCTAACTTTTATGCGCCGTGCCCTCATTAGCTCCGAACAATGTCCTCCGACCGTCTGCATTACAACTGATGACTAAGTTAACAGAATCCCATCGACACTTTGCGTAGTTGCAAGCCCCGCTCCCATGTCCATGTCCATTATAGCACGGACCGATACCTCTTCAAAGGTTATCCTGAGGACCGGTACGCTCCACCTACTCAGCATGGGAAAGCAGAAACAACAACAAATTTTCTGTGCATAAAAAGTGGACAAAGTGACTGATATGGTTGCATCGAAGTAGCGGCGAGCATCCGGCTTTCACGTTTGTTGCTTTGTGCAACCACTTTCATGCCTCCTTCAAAGTCGGGTTTGCCGCCATCCGTGTCAGCCCGTCTGCCTTCCGTTCCAGTTCCAAGGGTTGGACCGTTCTTTCCATCACAGACTCTGAGAAAATTTGGACCACCTTCACCAACTCTTTGACCCTATCGACTCTAACCATCCATGATAACTTCACTCTACCATGGCGTCCTCTGCGTAGACATCGGATAAACTGCCCCCGCAGCAATCGTTCTGTTGCGGTGACATCTAACTTGGCGTGTCCCATCGCGAGGCGCCTGCTTAGCCTTTGGAGAAACCCCATCAAGTCTCTTACTCTTCCCATTTTGCATAGTGAGAAATTCTCGAACAAGCGAGACAACCGCTTGTGGCCTGCAGCCTAAGTGACAGTTTGCAGTTCGTCGAGAGCATCAAAGTTGCGAACTTTAAGGAAAAATTGTTGCACTGCCTTGATATGGTATCGCTTTTCAGTAGCGTCACGTTGTTCAAAATCATCGATTACATTTGCGAGTACATAATGAAGTCGGGAATGAAAATTTGTACACCTGTGCTTGAGATGAACAGCTTATTGCTGCGGTACACATGGAACATGCCCTTCTTGTATAATGGTAAATGCTACCGACAGAAGGACGGCATAGTCATGGGCTCTCTCCCCGCGCCGTTGTTTGCAGGTATATTCATGACAAAACTGAAGCGAACCAATTTGCATGCGGAGGTTAACACTTTTGACTTCTATAAGTGTTAGATGGATGAAGTATTTGTAGTGGTGGATAAATACATTAATTTTGAT